CCCAGCAGGGAAATTAACTGCTATTACAATGCAGAAAGGTTTTGCTACTTGTTACTTTTTATTTGAATAATTTTCTTGTTTATTAAGGGAATCAGCAGCCATTTAAAGAAAGACATAGACATCGAGGAGGAAATAGATCTAAAATGAATATATGATCAAGATGCATCACTGTCCTCCACAGGAAAATTAATTAAGCAGTGCTTATGTGAGAGTATTGTGAATAATGATTGCCTCCTCCCAAGAGAGAAACGTGGCAAGCCAACAAACAATTATTACCAAGGAAGAGGATGAATGGCTGACTAATAAGAGAGAGAGAGAGAGAGAAAATGCTGCATCAATGACTGGCTCAGCACCACCTGTTCCTGAGAGCTCACATCAGATGATTAGTTCAATCTGTGAGATCAGTAGTTTTTTGGTTTATGTGATACTACATGTTGTTATTAAGCCAAGCTACAGGGACATAAACAGAATTAACTGAAAAACAAATGAGCCGAAAAAAGGAAGGAAACACTGGTCCACCACAACATGCTTTTTCTGCAGCAGAGTTAAATGACGGTTAGCATGGATATTTTAATCCCAACAAATAACAGTGACTCACAGCTTTTATGTGATTTTCCAAGTCAAGAGACAGCTTTGCGTTTGCAGCGGGTCGATGATGTGGAAAGCAAAACTGGAAAACGCCTGCCTCTGCATATTCAGCAAAAGCATCAGCATGTTGGACTAAATCTACCCTGAACCTGTTCAGCAAAGATGAAACCTTCTGTGTAATGAACCTGCTTGTTGATCCGTGCGTACACGTATAAAACACAATGAGGAAAACCACCAGGAGCAGTGATATAAATGAAGCCTCAATGTTTCCCTTCCACTATTTCCCATGCACTCTACAATAAGAAAAACTATGCTGCCATGCAGAGGATGATGCCATGTCAGAGGTCCTCACTGTAGAAGCTATTTTGTTTGGGCTCTTGGTTTTTTCTGGCATCCTGGGAAACATCTTGGTCATCCATGTGGTGAGATGATACAGAGGGTTATATTGTGAGTTGAGTGTTTTTCTTGGCTCTGTTCTCAGTCTGTCCTGCTTTGACTCTCAGGTGTTTCAGTCAGCCAGTGAGAGTTCGGCTCGGAGACTCCCTTCTTCTGACACCATCTTGGTGCACCTGTCTTTGGCCAACCTGCTGACTTCACTCTTCCGCACCGTGCCCATCTTCGTGTCGGACCTGGGCCTGAATGTGTCTCTGTCTCCGGGCTGGTGCCGAGTCTTCATGCTGCTGTGGGTGTGGTGGCGAGCCGTGGGCTGCTGGGTGACTCTGGCGCTCAGTGTCTTCCACTGCACTACCCTGAGACGACAGCACATGGCCTTTGGACCTCTCGCACATCAGAGGGAGAGGCGGCGGGTGTGGACTGTTCTGGGGCTGGTGTGGGGGGCTAACCTGGTCTTCTCTATTCCAGCCCTGGTGTACAGCACCCATGTTCATGGCAATGCCACCGTGGAGCTGATGGTGATCAGTTGCACCACCAGGCCACTGCTGGGCTGCATCTGGGAGTTCCCCTCTGAACAGCAGGGCTCAGCCTTCGCCTCCACCTCGCTGGCTCTAAATGAGGTGTTGCCATTAGTGCTGATGATGTTCACCAATCTGGCCACACTTCACGCTCTGGCCAAGCACATCAGAGCAGTCACCTCAGGGGGAGAGTCGGGAGGAACTCATGGAGAACTGGACAAACATGTGTCCACTGAGCGAAAGGCAGCTCATGTCATCATGTCGCTGGTGTCCCTCTTCGTGGTCTGCTGGGCAATGCAGGTCGCTGCAGTGACATACTACAACCACGACGGGGGACACCATGCTGAGGGGCTGCTTACCGTGGCCCACTTCTCCGCCTCGTTATTTGTGGGCTTCAGTCCGATGGTGGTGGCGCTGGGACATGGAAAGCTGAGGAGGAGAATCATGAGCATGATATTGGGGTGGTCTAAAGTTCTGAAACGTCACCGTGAGGTCACTGAACAGGGAAGTACATCTCCACAGACTACAGGAAAAAAGGGAAAACAAACTGTTTTTGTTGTTCAAAATAAGAGAGAAGTCATAAATGTGGAGTAAAAAACTAAAGCAGGCAAATGATGCAGTGTGACAAGAAAAACTCTTTCAAACTGTGTGAATCTTCTCACTTGTTACCTGGACAGTTGTTAAGTATTATTTTATATTTTAGCTTATTTTTACATATTTCAATACAAGCAGACATTTCATTGCTTCTTTGTTGTTATTTTTAAAATAGGATTTATTCAGAGTATATCACTTGTACAGATTGTTTGTGCTGTGAATTCAAGATTATTTTTATAAACCAACATTGTCTCCATTATGTTTTGAATAGTGTATAATGATTGTAAACATGTCAAACCCAGTCCAATCAGTCTCTAATATCCAACACAACAGTAACACAACAAGTAACAAATTATAAAGTGGGGAAAATGGGAGAAAATTTGATCCCTGAAATGTTATAACCATTTGCCCATTAGCATAAATTTACCATATATTGTACATTGTTCCTTCATTACATGTTACTCTTTTGCTGTGTTTTGTCACTAAAATCTTTTATAAGGTTCAAATAGACAGATCCAGAAATCTAGGTGTCAAATGGTGCATGAGAGACTACTGTCTCACAATAAGTTTCTTTAAGTAGTTACAACATTCTTTTATGGTGGTACAAACAACATTAGAAAATATGAAATATGTAGTTAGAAGCCATCATGGTAAGAAAAAAAACATGAATCTGAATCTATTACACTGAATCTATAAAGCATAATGTTAATATCTTGGCCTGCAAACTAAAGGAAACATGTTGCAATATAGTAAAAATCAGTTTGGACAGATTATTGTTTTTCTTTGTACCATTTGTTTGGACTGTATAATAAACGGAATCATATACTCTGCCCTGTGTACTAACTGAGTCATGTAACATGAATCCTTACAGGCTTGTTGGGGTTTTAACACTTGGCCTTGCTATGTTGAGTCACACACACTCACACACATAAACACATAGGTTTACAGAGAGAAATAACCATCCACACCAACGACCATGAACCTCATTATTATTAACTATTGAGAGAAGATGCAGGGAGTGATATTTTCTGTATTGTGTGATCTGCACCTCCAGTGCTCCAGCAGAGTGAACTGTAAGCCGGCAGCTCTGTCAGTGAGAGAGCAAGGACTTGATGGTAGACCGCAGTCTCCTGTGGCCGACTGCCAGAATAGCAGGTGACATGGCGATGAAGATAATGTTGGCAAAACGAGCAATGATCAGGAGGAAATTAGCCGAGGAGCCCTGGTTGTAGTTGAAATAGTTGACGGAGATAATGCTGGTTCCCCAAGAAGCAATGAAGAGCATAATGAGGGCAAGGATCACCTGAAAATCACACAAGGCAAAGAATTAGGGTAGTGAGACCCACACAGAGAAATTATGAAATATGGTAAGTTTGAGTCAAACAATATAGAAATTGGTTTGTCAGATTTATGAATAAAAGCACAAATCTGCTGTATATCAAATTGTATTTACTGCTTATCTACATGGCTCCATGAGCTCTTCAGTGACACCCTCGTCTTCCTCACCTTGGCCGCTCGCCTCTCAGCTGGCACTCGTTTGATGACAGGACCTTCCTGCACTGAGCTTCGCATCTTGCCATGGGTGTAGAGGGTGTAGAGTGAGCCCAGGTTGGTGAAAGCCATCAGGATTATGGGAATGGTCTCATGGATCACTATAGAGGTGGTGGCATAGGCCAGACCACTGTAGGTGGAAGGAAAGTTCCACACGCAGCCCAGCAGGGGGCGTGTTGTGCTGCTCACCAGCATCAGAGTCTGAGAGGAGGAGGAACATGGGGGAACAAACACTTATGAACACACTCACAATAAATGATCTTACTTATAATAATCATTTTTTTCCTTTCACATCCCTCAACAAGATTAAACTAATATTTAATTTGCAGGGTTGATAGTACAGTATGATTATCTACTGTATGTTTTTATCCTGATATCCAAGGGTTTGTAGTTTGAGTACACAAAGGATCTTTAAATAACTAACGACCATGCCAAGTATCATCTCATAAATAAAGTCTATATTTAAAGCATAAAACTTTAGACTTTTTCCTAGTTTTGGTAGATTATTATTTTGTTCTGTCCTGATCTACCAAATGTATAAGTTATCATACAGACTTGATGCTTAAAAATTAATACTTAAACTCAAGCAAGTTAAAAGCAAAAGATTTTCACAGGCTAGAATAAACAAAACAAAACCAGTTTGGAAGAGAAATGAAATTCTACTTTATGAAAGAACAGTGTATAATATACTTGATAAAAGGGATGAAGTAAAATTCATTGGAATCACCTCTGTTGTGTTCATATCCCCGTTCGTGGAAAATATATGAGCAGGAATGGAGTAGATAAAGTTGAGGAGCCAGATGAGGCCCATACTCAGCAGCATGGTGGTAGGAGGACCCCGGGCCCCGTGAAGGTTCCCGATGGTGGGAGCCACGCGCCTCAAAGTCTGGAAGTGAAACGCACTGAGATAGAGCGTTGACCACACGTTGACCGATCGCAGCCACACCCAGACTCCCATCAGGAACTGACACCACTCTTTGGATGAGTACAGCTGGGGTAAAGAAAACCAGATGGGTATATCAATTTAAATAAAATAATAAATCTTAATATTGTGTATTTAATATTACTTATTTCCTGGCGATAGAAAAGAAATGTGTTGCATCAACCTAACTCACATTTAATAATAAGTATCTCATTACTACCACTACTACATTATGGCATAGATGACCAGTGTGGTAGCTGGTGCAAGACCACACCCTTTGAACTATGGGTAACTCAGTGGCCCTCTATTGAGTTTGAAGACAACATACCTCGAGTCCCATGTCTGAGATAATAAGCAGCGTGTTCCTCATCACAGACACCATCAGGTTAGATAGCGCCATGTTAATGATGATGATGTCTGAGTTTCGTCCTCCGCCATGGTCCATTATCACACTCTTTCCGATCACTACGACCACAGTGGCATTACCCAGGATTCCCAGCATCACCAGGATGATGTAAAAGGCATTTTGTACAGGAGACACAGCGACGCGAAGTCCCATCCCCACAAGCTCCTGGTCATCATTCTGATTTTCTGAGCCTTCCATTGTAACCATTGATTTAACAACCTCGTCTGTGAAGCAACTTGAACGGCTGATGTAAAACCTTTAAGCATTCTCCATCTTTAGTTTTGATGCATGTCAGAAGAATAAACCTCAGGCTTTGACCTCCAACATGCTGCCAACATCTTCTTGAGTTCAAGTCAGTGCTTTACTCAGTCTTCGTAGGGTTTGTCATTTATTACACTCCTTCTCTGGGCCAATGGAAGAAGGTTAGGTCCTCAGAAAGTCACAAGGCAACACTATTTAATGCCTCTGGGAGCTCAGGGTGCAAGTTAATGAAACACAAGAGATTAATCAGCTTCCCTGAGTGAAATGTGCTTTCTTTGCAACTTATTATGCCATCATCCTGGGGGGAGTATAAAAACCTTTTTGTTTATTTCCATGTATGCACATGCATGTGGATGAGTTTTCAGAATAAGAACACTGATAATAACACCACTAATAGTGGCGGCATGGTGGTGCAGTGGTTAGTATTATTGCCTCACAGCAAGAGGGTTCCTAGTTGACAGCTGGGATTGGCTCCAGCTCCCCCCATGACCCTCAAAGCATAAGTGGTATAGATAATGGATGGACACTACACCTACAAATTCCTCAGCTTGCCTTTATATATTAGTAACAGTGAATCACTTCTTATTTAACACTCAAGAACAACAGTCAAATTGGAAAGTGTCATTTAACATAAAAACAGGCTCCCCTCTGTCACAGCAGCAATCAAATTCACCCACTATAGATTAAGCAGAGCCCCAATTAATAGTGTGTGAGGGGTCCAGAGGATGATTGTTGCCTGGGCAGCGACAAGTCTTTTTGCTCATATCTCAAACCTCCACAGACGTGTTTTCATACAGTGCTTCTACACACAGCATTTTCTCTTTCACACACCATTCACACCATTCAGTGTCAGCACAGCCATGAGGGGAAATGTGGGGTTCAGTATCTTGCCCAATGATACTTTGGAATGCAGACTGGAGGAGCCGGGGATCGAACCACCGACCTTCACCTTAGTGGACTACTTTCGATAGCACAATGCATATCTGATAAACAGTATACACAACAGGCAATATGTCTTTCAATGATGGCAGTTATGTGTCTTTAAAATTAGCTTGATTGTTTTCCTCCCTTTCAGTTGACATTTGAATGGGTTCAGGTGTACTTATGAAAGAAAATATAATGGAGCGTTACTTGTAATAATCCTACATGAATCATTTATGTAAAATGAGGCTGAAATCTTTGTTTGCAGTCTACAGCCACTAGATGGCCCTATAAACATCCAAATACGCGACAAACCCTTTTTTAATACAGAGCTTTACATTCCCTTTTAAGAAGGAAAATTCATTGGAAACTGTGCAAATATATCTTCTTCTTCGTCTTTCGTCCAACATTTGATTTCCTTTGAAATACATTTTTAAGATACAATCCGGAAATTCACAAGCATATAAAGTCATACACAAAGCAAAAAAAATATGATTCATGGTACATGACTCTGTATTCTGTGCTGCACAGAAATATGATATCGATACATAGATGAAGTTTGAGTTTGATCTCAAGAGCCGATATCATAAAAGACATAAAATCATTCTCAGCATTTACAGACATCACTCCCTCCCCTTATAACTGACTGTCAAACAGAAATCCATTTCTCTGACTTATTTTCTCCATTTGTTGCTGAAAGTCACAGCAATTACGAATCAGCTTCAGAATTAGAATATTTTAAACTTCCATAGTAGAGACAATAGTGGCACGGTGGAATAATGGTTAAAACTGTCGCCTCACAGGTTGGTTTGAATCCTGGTTCCTGGTGCACGTGGGATTTCTCTCTGGCTTCCTCCCACAGTTGGAGACATGCAGATAGGCTTAGGTTAACTGGAGACTCGTCGGTGTGAATGTGAGTGTGAATGGAAGTTTGTCTGTGTACCTTTTCAGGCTGTACCCCACCTCTTTCCCAATGTCAGCTGGGCTTGGCTCCAGCTCCCCACACTCTTACAAGACAGATAATGGATGGATAAATAATCAACAATATCAACATCATACTAATGAAGTCAATCAAGAGGCCATGGGTGATAATTAACAAGCTGAAATTTGGTCTTTATATGTGACAGAAATGAATCTGACATTACTCTGTTGGTCCATACACCATGGTTTGTTGTCTGCAGCCCATGGACACAACGTTTTTCAAAGCAACACTGCATTCATCAGAAGAAAGTATTCTCTGTCTGAGCGAGTGGTGTGCTAACATGGTCCTCTAGCTACAGGCTAAGGTTAATTCATTAAAGGGATAGTTCACCCAAAAATGTATGTTTTTTCTGTTGTTTCTTTTACGTCTGAAGATAAGTCCCTAATATTTTCAATTGTATTGGATTTAGCTGCTACACTGTTTACTCCTGAAATTTCAGTGTGTTTTATGGACTCAAACACTTCACCCGCCCCTCCATCAGCATAAGGGTGAGTAGATAATAAGTGAATTATCAGTTTTGGGTGAACTATCCCTTTAAATATACTACAAACTTCTAATGTAGAAATGTATTACATTTGTGAACCGACACCCAAACACAATGTTGTAAAAAGGTTTTGAGGGTTAAGTTGACCTCTGAATTGATGCCTGTATTTTTATTTTCTTCAGCTTAACAATTTGAATGAATAAAGATGTGGACGTGAAATGCAGGTGAGTGTGATTATCAGGCCTCTGCAGCTTGTCAGGTAACAATTTATTTTGTTAATTGCATACGTTTAACTCTACATCTCACAAGGACTTTTCATGGATATGGTGACTCAATACCTAAAATTGGTTCATTTTGAATGTTGATCTTTATTTATAAATTCTACATAAACTTTTGTCCCTTCTCAGCTGAGCGGATTCTCGGCTCAAGAAACAGGTGATGCTACTATTTTAGATTTTGATTCCACGGAGCAGATAGGGAGGTAAACTACAATACAGCTATAATAATGGATCATTTTAAGAGTAGGTTGACATTAAAATAGTAATAATAATAAATAATTATTGTTCGGAACAATAGTTCCTCATGCTGACGGTAGATACTGTCTAGCTTCAGACTCTGCAGCTGTGGATGCTCCTGACTAACAGAACAAATTAACTGTGTCTGGACAAAGTTGGAGATGTTTTTCTTTGCAGAAGGAAAAAGAAAGAATTAATTATGCTCTGTATTCACTCAGACATTGTGAGGACACAGGGCTGGAGTGATGTGATAAAGCCTTGACTTAAAATATTGGAAATAAGTAAAAAAACCAAAAACAGATGATAATAATAATAATAGGGCTCATAGGTAACCTGTCTGCAATGCACTGCAGCACAACCCGTCACCCAGGCCCGAGCTGTAGACTGGAGACACACACACTTGGCTGCCTGGGGAAAGGTGTGTGAGCCGTGTGGAATGAGAGCTGGGAGACAGGTAAACGGAGGAGAAGGAGGACTTTGAGGAGAACTTTGAGGAGGAAGCGTGAGAGTTTGTGTTCTCCCACTTGAGCCAGTAGCCTTTCAATCCTTCCTGATGGGCCTTCCACGCTACTTGCACCTCCTGATGCTGCACAGGGGTCAACTGTAGGTCAGCCAGAGCAGGCAGAGCTGCTGCACAAAAGAAAAAAAGGAGACGTTTTAAGCGAAGCTGATGCACTGCGGAAAGAAAGTAGGAATGATTTAGAAACAGAAATTTAAAATGGCAACTTCAAAAGGTTACCTTTCACAAAAGAGATATCAGAACAAATGTGATGCTTTTAAGCAAAGACCAACTGAATTATCTGCAATAATAACTGAAAGAAACAAACATATTTGTTCACAGATAAAAAACATGTTACACTAAGTGTCAAACTGAAAACACACCCTCGTGAGTGCATGCCCTCACGGACATGGCTATTTCTTTTCCATCCACATGCAAAGCGCTGACTGTGACCAGGTATTGAGTGCCCTGCTCCAGGCCGGTAAGTAAAGTTGAATTTTTCTGGCTGTGGAACATCACAGTCCTGACAAGTCCGCTCGGAATAGCTCCGTACTCCACCGTGTATCTCTGGACGCGGGCCGGCTGCAGAGGACCCCAGCTCACGCGGATCTGATGAGGGCTGGAGTCTGACACGGAAACCACTGCAGGGCTTAAAACATCTGCAGCAGGCACAGGGAGAAGGGACACGGGTGAGGTTATGGCTACCAGCATCACCTTTAGATGAACTATAATGAATTTGGATGATATGGGATCTGGTGCTTGAAGTAGCCTGTTTGAACACCTCACTTGAAATTGATCACGCTGTAGAAACCCTTCAGACTGCTATGAGTGCAGCTGCACTGGTCAAGGGTTGTGTGTTATTACAAACTGAATGTGCAGATGCGTGGCCTCATGTTGCAGTTAATCTTTAATGGCACAAATATCTGGTTAGAAGAAAACCAACAACATCAAGTGCTCAGCCAGTTGAACTGATAGGTCTTCAGTTTTCTATTATCTACAGTGGAAATTAGAATGTCTATTATTCAATGAGCAAAGTCCATATTCTGGGGAAAGCAGGGACAAAATGATTAGCAGCATTCCAGAATTTATAAATAACATGCATGTAAAGGGAAAATACGTAAATGATCTTACCAGGAAGTGTGGTGAAGGTCACAGAGAGTGTGTCAAACATCCTCTGATTGGACTCTGGGCGGAGATAAGCTTTGTAAGTGGTATCAGGCTGGAGGTTTCTCAGCTCCGCCTGGCTGGAGTCACTTGACACGATACGTCTGGTCTCAGGGTCCGTGTTCAACATGGAGTAATACCAGAGCTCATAATAACCTCCGTCTGCTCTCAGAATAGGACGCCACTGCAGCACAGCACTGTGGGAGGTCAAGTGAACCACATGCAGCCGTTCTGCACGAATTATTTCTAAAGATAAGACGAGAAGGGGGGGAATAAAGGTATATAGAAAATTGGACCAACTGGAGCAAATAATTCTGTAGTTGAAATCCATGGATCTATTGCACTGCTCCAAACACACACACACACACACACACACACACACACACGTTAAACTTCTTAGTGAAGACACTCATTGACATAATACCTTCCCTAGCTCAAAAAATGTCTGTGCTTAAAATGGTCCTCAAAAAGATATAATTACAGGAACACACACAAACTTACTGATGATGGCCTTCCTTAGATCTTCTGTGATGATGTTGATGTTGTCGATGTCCACAAAGTACAGGTGGGACTCTTTAGGAGGTGTCACTGCACGTTGTAACACCCGGTAGTTGCCATGTACTGTGGACACAATCAGCACAGAAACTCCCCTCTCCTTCAGCTCCGTCATGGGCTCTACGATGTCTCCAGGCTGCACACCATCAGTCAGCCACAGCAGTATCTTTGGCACGGGCTCCTCTGCTTCTCTCAGGAGCTGCTGGGCCACCCTGAGTGCTGCCACAGTGTTGGTGTCTCCCTGCAGGTGGTGGACATGTTGCAGAGCTTTCTGTAGACTTTCCTGACTGTTGTGGGTGTTCAGGCCGAACTCCAGTTTTGAGCTTGTGCCCACCTGCAGCAGCCCGACTCTCACATGTCCACGGCCTAATGAGAAGGGCCGAAGCAGGTCGGCAGTGAAAAGCAGCAGGCGTGAGAATTCGTGGTGTGCCACACTTCCTGAAGAATCCAGCAAGAGGAGAATATCCCCTTCACAGCAGTCCAACACTGTTAACAACAGGAGGGAAACAGGAAGGTCACTTTAATATGTCAAAAACTATTTGACATGTACTTTTAATTTTTAGTTTGGACCATGTCCCATCAACCAGCATGGAGGAGGCAGGGTTTGTGACCTATAATGCAACCAACCTCCAGGTGATCAAGTTATACAGTCTATTGTCTGGACACCGGAGAATGCAAGTCCAATATTCTCGATCCTTTGTGCTCTATTTTGGTCTCCACCGACTGGTATGATTTTTGTGCTTGATCTGCTCTGTTGGCTCTGTCTGTTTGTATGTGTTTCTGGTTCTCTTTTTGAGTGCCGAGCCTGTTAGCATTCTTCTGCCTGACTGGGTGTGCGGCTTCCGGTCTCCTGATTCCCCAGCCAACAATCCTTCACTCCTGAGCTGCATCGATCAATCAACTCTCCGCAATCTGGCAGTATATATGGACCAGATCAAGCACCACAACTCTTCCAGACCGTTGTTCAACCAATCATCATTTGCTACCTCCATCTGCTTGCAGCGCCCAGCTAGCACAACACTGCCTGTCTCAACCTCAGCAATCTGTGCCACTGGGAGCCACACTGTCTCCATATCAATCGCTACTGGCACTAAACCGCCTGCTCTCATCAGCAGCGCAACCACCGCATCTCACGATCCGCTGAGCTGTTGATTTAGCCAGCCTGTTAATACGAAATCTTGTGCTTTGCAATTGGAATGTGGAAAAAACATGGGCACAGGAAATAAAATGTGTTGTATTTATGTGTTTAGAGAGTCTAACTAACACCTTGACAGATCTTTACAATATTTAGACAATAGTGAAGAGCAAAGAAGAAGGATCATGTGTGCCAGGCATACATATGGTTTAAAACATATACATACATGTTAATCATAAAAACATCAGTATTGGCTAAACAGTAGTGTTAAGACGCTTGTGAGAGACTGACATACAGTTTGCAACTAATAAAAATAAAACATTTGACAAGTTGATATTAGAAGCAAAGCTGATTGTAATATTATCTTAATTGGTCTATGAAATCTGAAGTCAGCAACTCATGCACCAAAATATACAAAGAGTTGTTGCACCAACTTGAGATGGCATTCACGTGAATTTTCCCTGTCGGGAACTAATATTTCTGATTATTCCGACACCACATATAAAATAAAATTCTCTGGGGGTTTCTCACTATGAGTGAAACCTTCTACATGACACATGTTCAATCCAAGGCATCCAATAGAATTTAAAATATAGCAATTTCAAGGAAGTAATTTCTACCTTGGGGACCGTGATTCAATGTCCACTACAGTAGCAGACAAGTGTTCAAGGAGAGCTTAAACCATGGGGACTTATTTGTTTCCTCTGCTGCCTCCTCGATTATACTAGATACTGTTGGCAGTGATGAATCATGCCGTCATGACCACATTATTATCTCAGGCATATAAAAAGGTACGCCTGATCATATTAATGTCACATTTGCAGTTAATGCCCTTGGGGAAGCATTAATATGAAGAATGAGAGGCAGTAGCAGGTGTATGAAGTGTCTTATTCCATCAATAACACCGACAAGCTGAGAACAAGCCACTGCACGGCTCACACTGTATCTGAATGTGTAAAAAACTTATTACGTTGAGAATACTTGAAGCTACAGGGGGAGGATTTATGACAACGAGAAAGAAATTGGTCACAGGAGTCAATTTATCATATGAAACCAGAGGGAGATTTACACTGAAGATAAAGCTGTAAAAAAATTGTCTGCAGTGCAGGAAGAACAAGAGAAAGTGAATCCCACATTTTGGTATCTCTCCACCCAACCCAGTCTTGGTTGTTCCACCTGAGTTAACACATACTGGTTTCTCGATCTCACCCATCATCATTTTCCAGAAGCAGTTTTGTAGACTCTAAATTGTTTTACTGGATCAATTCAAGCTACAAGCATCCCGCACAATCAGATATGTGCATCTTGTGACTCTCATCTGTTTCTGCTGGATCATTTTGAATTATCCTGCTCTCTGCACATGCATGATACCTGTGGCACCTGAGGTTCATGAGAATATTTGTCTAATACCATAACCTATTATACATACATAACTAATACATTGACATGAGTTATCATAATCTGAATTGAAGACCAGTTAAAATTCTTTATAGGAATCAATTCACCCACTTCCAGGTTATTCACACTTCTCTTTCACATCTCCTCTGCAGAACACACCCATTAGTTTATTGCAGCAGTGGTCCATGATCATTAAACTTTCATATGGAAGCAGCAAATCAAGCAGTAGGAAAATAAAGAGGAAGAGAGGAAATTAGCGAGAAAAAGTGCAATCAGATGAGGAGGTGTCTGCAGTGAGAGGAAACCTCATAAAGTGAAACCCCTGTGGGAATCTGTTAACACACAGATGGACACCTCATAT